ATATTATGGATTCATAGCGTATATAGTTTTGGAGTATTTTACGTATTTTTAGTATAAAAATGTACAATTGTTTAATTTTTATTTCGTATTTGCTAAGTATTTGTTAAAGTTTTACTTCGATATAAATGTTATTTTGCTTTGTATTTCAAAATATGATTTTGATACGTGTGCATCACTCATTATGAAAATAAATTATTCCGAAAGTACCTGCATTATGCTAGGGTTCAATCTGGTCGTACATAACTATTCCATATTCTGGTGTGTTGGTGAAATGGTAAGTGTGTACCCATACACAATCGTTCTGTATTTGGGTGTATAAGAAAATAGTCTGATATGCATGTCCTAACTGTTCCATGTTTGGGGGGTAGCAATGTTTCAAGGTACTCATGTATGTCGTTCCTTATTTGGGTAATATGGAGAACTAGTAATAAATATTTGTGCCTACACATAATATATAGTAACTGATTGATTTTCCGTAATAGTGATGAAGTATGAATTCTTCTTTTGATTCATATATGGTTTGAAAATATTATATGATATATGTTTTCTTGTGTGTAAAGAAACTATATATTGTATGTACTATGTTGTAATTTCATAATATTATTTGTTGAGATATTTTATCTTACACCCCTTTATTAGCCTCCAGATAATAATGATACCGTTGCAGAATGAGCGGTGATACAGAAGAAATTTCTGAAGTTAGACTCTAATATTAAAGTTACTATTTTTTACTTTTATTTAGTAATGTAAATAAAGAAATTTAAAATTTTGTACATAAATTTATATTTTACATTTAAAGGATGCAACGGTTTTACGACTATTTTATGATTAATAAAATCAAGTTATTTTACTTAACTCAAGTTTATATAATTTAAGTATGCTTCGGTTAGTACCTTATAAGATGGGTGTGGTCTGTGACAACGATTATACCATAAGCCGATGAAGCTAATGGTGGAGGCTCGTAGAGCGCCATTTACAAATGGGATTTGACTTTCTAGGACCTAGTCAGAAAGATGATGGCAAGATTTTCTCTCAATAAAAACAATGATGGATGAATGAGAAAGGGGGTGGAGGATTCTTGAGCTTCATCACTGAAGGTTGTTTCATACACATATAGAGAAAGAGACCATGATTTTAAATATGTCCACATAAATATCATGTATTATACACATGGCGCCTACATGGATTAGAATTAGACACATCATTGATGAAGTTTGCTAATTTATAATGGCATCGATAAACTACAACGACAATGAGGTGGTTTGAATATTTTAAAGAGTTGAGAGTTAAATTTAAGAAAAAAATATGATGATGCAATTTGAATATGTTTTAAAATTTGGTAAAAATGAGTATATTAGCTTTAAAAAAATTAAAAAATATATTAAATTCTAAACATTGCAAATAAACTAAAGATAATAATAGTAATAATAAATTAATTTTTTCTTAATAAATTTCTTAAATGATATACAAGACTAATGATAATATTATAAAAATAGTATTTAAAATATGAGACACATGATAATAGAGTTTAGATCAAAACCACAGCCTTATATAGAGTAAAATATATATCGATCATTTAAATAAGTAATAATTATATTATACATGTGGCATTTTTGTGGATTAGAATTACACACATCATCGATAAAGTTTGCCGACTTCCACTGGCATTAGACTATAAAAATAATGAGATGGTTTGAATATTTTAAAAGATAAAACAAAAAAGAAATATGATGATGTAATTTAAATATTTTTAAAAATTTGATGGTGAAAGTTGATATTTTAGCTTAGAGAGAAATAAAAATATTAAACTCTAAACATTGCAAAATTAACCAAAGATAATAATAGTAACAATGGATTAACTTTGTCGGTAAATTCATTAGATGGCATACAACACCAATGATAATATAGTGACAATAGTATTTAAAATATGAGGCACGTGATAACGCAGTTCAAATCAAAACTACGACCTCCTATAAAGAAAAATACATATCAAATAACAGTCGATTTTAAATTTAAATACAATAAAATATATTATTAACGGTTTTTAGTAATTTTTTTTCTATTAATTACCTTCTAACAATAAATTTATATTTTTCCATAAAGTTGGTTGCTTGAATTTTAAGTCATACTTTACTTTGTCAACAAAATAATTCGAAATTATTGTATATTACAGTTAATAATATGCGGTAACTTACTGTATAGTGAGTTAATAATTATTCAAAACTAATTATATTGATCACCCATCACATGCACAAACTAGTAACTTAATTAATTATGCATATATTAAAGAATTTATTGTTCCATTTTTATGTCCCAACTTTACAGTAGTATATATATTTTTAATTATACCTTTGTAATTATTTTCAAGTATTTTATTATGTTTGGTAATTTTAAAAGTATACTTAACGGTAAGAATATTTTTTTATTAATTACTTGTAAGCCAGCAGTAAATCTTATATGTTGAATTTAAACTACTTACTTCACATACATTTTCAATTACTCACTCATTCACATACCATGTTTAATGAAAGCATAATAAACTATATAATGTAGTTGTTTACTTAGAGTGCTTAATATTTAACATAATTTAAGTTGTTTACGCCTAAAATGTTTTATTTTTTAATATATATGTAATTGCTTGTTCATTCATATATTAAAAACAAATATCTATGTAATTTTAAGTTATTTTTTAGAAATATAAAGCTTATATTATTAAACAAAAAAATATTTTTAATATTTTAAATTCTTATTATTCTACCATATATCCATTACTTTTTTAAGTACAATCTTTTAGATTTTTTTTTTCCTTAAAAATTATAAATACACTTGAATCCTAATATCTTATTATTTGAACTCTATAATTCTTTTTACTCATTTGTCATTTGTTTTTTTTTTTTTAACCAAATCTAATACTTGTCATCATCTAAGATAACAATAATTTTTAATTTTGTTATAATCATTTCTATAGTTACAATATTTTTGAAGTAATTATGTTGTCATCTTATTATAATACATTACTAATCATTTCTATTTGCATTATTAGTAATTTTCTTTTACTTTTATTAAAATACATTAAATTATTCGAAAAGTATGAATATTAATGTTGAACTATATTCTTGACCCTATAAGATTATAGAATAACAATTTTGTAGGAAATTGTCTGTTATTAATTCAAATTATTCAAATAATTCCTACAATATATTTAACCATTAATTGACACATATAATACTATCTCAGTGTTAGGAATTCTCTTCGGTATATGTGCAACAAGAGATATAAGTTTGAATAAACCAATATAGAAGTTTTATAATGACAGAAAATTCTCAATCAAAGTAGCACATAAGCTTTTTAATAATATGTATTTGAGCGATTCAAATAAAATACAAAATCACATGGATACTTCATATATTATAACAAGCATAAAACTTTATATTTATATTAATATTCAATAAATACATGACAAATAAATAACCAAAAATAAAACATATCACGATAGTAGATTAACATTTTAGATGTAATAATAGGAACAAAAGAATCTTTTATGTCGTTTAAGATTGTCATAACTGCAAATAGATTTGACCAGACTTACTTTATGTTAAATTTGTTAATACATTTTTCTCATTTATTTTTTATATGTGGGTTAGATAGAACTTGATTATTAACATAAATACTTATAAAATTACATGATACAAAAAAAAAAAAAATTAATGATATGTTAAAATTGAATCAATTTATTTATATTCATCCTATATCATAACTGAAACCAAAATTATTACGAATCTGTTTGTGTTTGATTTTTATTCGTATCATATTAAAGTAAGACACCTCTCCTTTCAATCGGCTCGCTTTTTTGATATATTAGATATTATATATTTGAAAAATAATTAAAGATATAAAAGTATATAATTAATACTTAAAAAAACTCAAACCTCCACTCTAATCCTTCCTTTTACAATATATATAATACAACTTATATATAAATAGTTGCATAATATATATCTATATATATTTATATGTAAAAGTTGCTTGCATTAAAGACTTCCATTAAAGTTGCATGTATATATACAATACAAAAAGTATTATTTTTACGAACTCAGTCGCGAGTTAAGGGTAAATTTGGTTTTATAGTAATAATTAGGTCGGATTCGAATTTTGTCAAATTCGTTATAAACCGATTTATTGTCATTCTTATAAAAAAATTTATATTTTAAGTAATAATATAGTTTATTGAAAAAGTAAAAGTAATAACATATATTGCATTTCTAAATTACTAACGTAAAGGTCTTGGAGAGTTTTAAAAAATCATAACTAATATAATTGAATATAACAATTTATTAGTTTAAGATCGACATATATAATTTTCTTTTAAGGTAATACGGATAATACAATAATAAGTGTACTTATTCAAAATAATAAGAGACAATCGATTGGTAACTTAACGATAAATTAATTTTTGATAATTTTTAAAAATTAAAAATTTAAATATATTTAATTTATATGAACATTATTAGATCAATTAGCTAGAAATAGAGACACTAATAATTTTCATTGTAGATGCTCCGACTGTATGGAAAAATGGTTTTTTCTTTTCTTTTTCCTTCTTTTTATCCATATTTTTTTAAAACCATTTTCTTGTGAGCTTCAAAGCCAAGTCAACTTAATGAATTTTTTTCTACTAAAAATAATTATGAAATTAAATTCCTCGTAAGCAGTTTTTAATCCTTTTACATTTACTGCGGTGTTTTTACTTTTTACGCCGAAAATGTTTTTCCCGCAGGAAACATGTTCTAACATGTTTAATGTTTTATTTAGATTTTACATTTTTCTTTTTTAAAAAACAATACTGTGTTTTAGAGAAAGACGTGGCAGCCACATCAGACTAATTGAGTGAAGGGGGCGCTGAATTATCAAATATTTTATTTAACCCGTTAAAAAAAAAAAAAAATTAACGATGGTATAAAAGCTAGGAACTCGTACGCATGGGCCACACCCTAGAAACATTGCTTCTCAAAACGCAAGCCATTTTCCTGCTCTCCCCATTGTATACTGCTCTGTTGTAAGAACTAGAAAAGCGCAGTCTCTTCGATATTCTCTATCTTCTATCGGAAGAAATCTGCAAGACCTAAGCAAACAGCACCTTCGATTGATAAGGCAGACGTTTATATAGATCTCAGATCCAACGGTACTTTCTCTCATGTGTATATCTATGTACTTTTATCTATCCACCACTGGTTATATGGATTAATTGTCTTTTCTTTGAACTGATCATTTATCTGACTTTAGTTCTCAAACAATCTTATTTGAGTTCGTTTTGCGCTATGATCGGTGTTCTGATTTTGTTTATTTTCTCTTAGAAATTGAATTCCTCATGTAATTTTGCGTAACTTATTACTCTCGGACAACATGCAAAGGATTCGGCATTGCGATGGATACCTTTTATCTTTTGGTTTCCATCTGTTTTGATACTAAAAATTTACATATCGGTTGTAATTTGCTGATCTTTTAGTTTTATTTTTTGGGGCGTCTGATATGCAGAACATTCTGCATTGTGATGGATTTTTTCCGTGTTAGTAGTTCGATCAGTGTATTGATTTCTCTCTTTATTGATGTTTGGTTTTATCGTTCTGTTTGGGAGGTTCCAATGGAATTTGAATCTATCGCAAAATTGTGATCTCATTAATGGCTTAAGTGTGAAGAAATTGAAGCATAGAAGGCTGAAGGTTAAATGTTAAGAAGGAAGGAAATATTTGAAACGTTCACACAATCTGATTTCTTTTAGTGATTTAAGAGAAGGTGGTGAAACTGATGTTTGTATATATATATGTACATATACTTATTTTGTTCCCAGGGGATCTATGGAGAGTTTGGCGCAACTAGAGGCATTATGTGAGAGGCTATACAATTCCCAGGACTCAGCAGAACGAGCTCAAGCTGAGAACACCTTGAAATGCTTCTCCGTGAATACAGACTACATTTCACAATGTCAATACATTCTTGACAATGCATTGACTCCTTATGCATTGATGCTTGCTAGCTCCAGTTTGTTGAAGCAAGTCACTGAGCATAGCCTTGCACTGCAGCTTCGCCTTGATATCAGTAAGTTTCTTCATGTTTGCAAGTTCCAATAAAATCTTTGTTAGTTGATTGTCCATTTTAACTCTTAATTTTAATGCAGGGAATTATCTTATTAACTATCTGGCCACAAGAGGACCCAAGTTGCAGTCATTTGTTACTGTGTCTTTGATTCAACTCTTATGTCGTCTTACGAAGTTTGGATGGTTTGATGATGATAGATTCCGCGATGTGGTTCAAGAGTCCACAAATTTCTTAA